AGAGAGAGAGAGAAGAAGGTGGAGGAGGAGGAGGAAGAGGAGGAGAAGGAGAACAAGAACAAGAAGAAAAGGCAAAAAGATGTTCTTGTGGCTGGCGAGATGGCTCAGTGGTTAAGCACACTGGTTGCCCTTTCAGAGGACTTGGGTTCATGTCCCAGCAACCACATGGTGGCTAACAGACATCTGTAACTTTGATGGCCTCTTCTGGCCCCTGCAGAGACTAGGCACACAAGTGACACACAGATATGCATGCAGGGAAAACACTCATACACACACACACACACACACACACACACACACACACACACATTTAAGATTGTTCTTATTTGACTTTGGGCTTTTGGGTAGAGACATTGGTCTCTGGTTAAATATAACACTACATTTGAAATAAGTGATATCAAATTTAAAAATTCAGACTAAAGGTCTTAGTCAACTTTCCTTTGCAATTCTAAAACAAGGCAACATCCCATTTTTAAAAACAGAATTAGGAAAGTCAGGCACAGTGATGCACACCTTTAATCCCAGCACTCAGGATTCAGCCGCAGGTGGGCTTCTGAGTTCGAGGCCAGCCTGGGCTACAGAGTGAGTTCGAGGACAGCCAGGGCTATACAGCACCCACTGCAACTGTCCAGTCCCTGTTCCCAGACGTGCAGCTCAGTGTACCCCTTATTTATGTGACCTACTCTGAATTGTCATTCATCCTGACCTAGCTTTGTGCCTTGGCCAAGCTCTGTGCTCATCCTGCCCAACTCCAACAGCTCCGTCCCCGGGGTCATTAACACTTTAATTACCTGCAGTGACTCTTCCTAAGTCAGCTGTTCTTTCTCACCCTCGGTAAGGCCTCTTTGAACCTATGGTATCTTCAACCCATTTGTTGTCATTCTATAGCAAATATATCATATATATTCTATATCCACGTTATATATATATATACATACACACACACATATATATATATACATATATATATATATATATATATATATATATATATATATATATATATATAAATTGAGTGATCTGAAAAGTAATATTGGTAATTAAGGCTGGAACAAAAGGAGCCTGTGACCACCAATGGTCATATCGAAGACAATCAGTAGTACAGTAGTATCTGGGCAGCTCACGTTGCCGTAGCAAAATGTCATAGAATGGATGGCATATAAACAATAGAATTGTTTCTTGTAGTTCTGGGAGCTGGGAAGTCTAAAGTCAATGTGCCAGGCTGTCTGGTGATGGCTCACATTCCATCATATAGACAGCATCTTCTCATGGTGTCTTCACACAGAAGGCAGCTGTCTGGCCTCTTGTAAAAGTACCAATTCCTTTCACCAGTGTTCTGGCCCCAAGACCTAATTACATCCCAGCAGCCCCTGCTCCTAATACTACAACACAGGTGACTAGGTTTCAATGTAAGAATTTGAGAGGGTTTCCAGGTTCTGGCTATTACAAACAATACTGATATGAAATAGCTGAGCAAGTGCCCTTGTGGTATGATTGAGCATTCCTTGGGTATTACTCTGCCACCACCACCACCACCCCAAATTTCTAAGAAAGCGCCATATTGATTTCCAAAGTGGCTGTACAAGTTTGCATTCCCACCAGCAGTGGAGGAGAGTTCCCCTTGCTCCACATCCTCTCCAGCATAAGCTGTCTTCAGTGTTTTTGATCTTAGCCATTCTGATTGGTGTAAGGTGGTATCTCAGAGTCTTTTGATTTGCATTTCCCTGATGATTAGGGATGTTGAGCAATTCAACTGAAGAATGGATAAATAAAATATGGTACATATACACAATGGAGTACTACTCAGCAGAGAAAAGCAATGACATCATGAGGTTTGCAGGCAAATGGATGGATCTAGGAAAAAAAATCATCCTGAGTGAGGTAACCCAGACTCAGAAAGACAAACATGGTATGTACTCACTCATAGGAGGATACTAGATGTAAAACAAAGATGACTAGACTGCTACTCAGAACTCCAGGGAAGCTACCTAGAAAACAGGACCCTAAGAAAGACACAGGGATCGCCCAATGACAAAGAAATGGATGAGATCTACATGAACAACCTGGACGTGAGTGGGGGTAATGAAGGACAAGTTTTGAGGGAAAGAGAGCTTAGGGGAGCGGGAGATCCCAGCTGGATTAGGAACAGAGAGGGAGAACAAGGAATAAAAGACCATGATAAATGAAGACCACATGAGAATAGGAAGAAGCAAAGTGCTAGAGAGGTCCCCAGAAATCCACAAAGATACCTCCACAATAGGCGACTGGCAATGGTCAAGAGAAAGCCCGAACTGACCTACTCTGGTGATGGCATGGCCAAACACCCTAATAGTTGTGCCAGAAACCCCATCCAAGGACTGAGGAATCTGGATGCAGACATCCACGGCTAGGCCCCGGGTGGAGCGCCGGAAGTCTAATTAGCAAGAAAGAGGAGGGTTTATATGAACGAGAATTGTTGAAACC